GTATCAACTAAAGCTTGTACTTAACAGAGCCTACCTAATACAAAGAAAACAGCACACAGTTGTCATCAACAGCGTGAATAGCAACTGCAACATTCAGTGCTGTTAGCAAGGATTAGAACAATTACAATCTCATAGAGAAACAATAGAATAGAATAGAATAGAATTCAACTTTATTGTCATTGCACATGCACAGGTACAGGGCAACGAAATGCAGTTTGCATCCATCCAGAAGTGCTTTAGTGATATAGATATATTACAATATATATTAGCAATAATATAGATATGTGAGTATATTACAGAAATGGGTCTATTATGGTATGCTATAATGTACACGGTATGAGGTATGTTGTGAATATTCTATAACTATAAGTATGTACAGGTTGTAGTGAGTACAAGCTATGTACAGGATATGAACAGGATATAAATATGAAAAACTATACAGAATATCAAATAATTAACTTTACAGAATCTGAGATATACAGCTATACAGAAATGTGAACTATGCAAGTTGTAAACAGTTGTAGGATTAAAACTTATCAAATGTACAGAATGATTATTTACACAGAGCTATACAGTAGTGCAGTTAAGATAAGTGAGATATAATTCCTACAGAGGCTATATAAAGTGCTAGTGGTTGTGAGTGGTGGTTCAGTCCATGTTATTATTGTGTGTTTGAGGGTACAGTTGTCCATTGTGGGTGTGTGTATGTTCAGTCCATGTGTTAACATGGGTCAGATGTCAGGAGGCAGAGTTCAGGAGTCTGACAGCTGTGGGGAAGAAGCTGTTCCGGTACCTGGTGGTCTTAGTCCGGAGGCTCCTGTAGCGCCTCCCAGAGGGCAGGAGGGTGAAAAGTCCATGTGATGGGTGACTGGGGTCTTTGATGATTTCCCCAGCCCTTTTCAGACACCGCTTCCTGTAGATGTCTTTTATGGCAGGAAGTGGTGCTCCGGCGATGCGCTGGGCAGTTTTCACGACCCTGTGCAACGCCTTCCGGTCCGAGGCAGAGCAGTTCCCGTACCAGACTGTTATACAGTTGGTCAGGATGCTCTCGATGGTGCAACGATAGAAGTTCACCAGGATGTCTGAGGACAGGTGGTTCTTCCTCAGAGTCCTCAAGAAGAAGAGGCGCTGGTGAGCCTTCTTGACCAGCTTGGAGCAGTTGGTTGTCTAGATGAGATCCTCGGAGATGTGGAATCCCAGGAACTTGAAGCTGCTCACACGCTCCACAGCCGTCCCCTTAATGTGGATGGGTGGATGTGGGTCAGCATTCCTCCTGTAGTCCACGATGAGCTCCTTGGTCTTCTCGGTGTTAAGCAGCAGGTTGTTTCTGTCGCACCACTCAGCCAGACGATCCACCTCCTCCCTGTAGGCGGCCTCATCGTTGTCACTGATGAGGCCAATCACCGCGGTGTCATCTGCAAACTTAATGATGGTGTTGGAACCATCAGCAGGTCTGCAGTCGTGGGTGAAGCGGGAGTAGAGGAAAGGGCTCATCACACAGCCTTGTGGTACACTGGTGTTCATCGTGATTGTAGATGAACAGTGGTTATCCAGCCGGACATGTTGGGGGCGGTTGGTCAGGAAGTTCAGTAACCATTTGCAGATGAGGGAACTGATGCCCAGGTCTGTCAGTTTCCTGATGAGTTGTGAGGGGTGGATTGTATTGAATGCTGAACTGAAGTCTATAAACAGCATTCTGGCGTAGGTGTTGAACCAAGTGCAAGTCAAAAAGCACCCAACTAACTAACGAGTATTAGCTTAGCATGTTAACTAAAAATTCTACTCGGGAAGAAAGTTAGTACTGATGCATCAAAATGCTTGTAACTTTGAGGGTACAGGTATGTGCTAGTACTGCTTACAATCAAAACAGATGTTGACAATTACCAGTATGAGAATGTTTTCACTAATACACATACAAAATTGACAACACCATCGCTCACAAGCACCTACCACCAGCTTGGGAGTATTTTTCGTTTGCTGAGGCATGCGCTGTGCAGCAATTTGGAACCTTAACCGTTGCAGTTCGGTATTTGTCCACCAGGTGGCTCCAACTATTCACAAAGCACATCAATTTTGAGGAACTTCATTAAGGTGTTTTCTAACTCTGTTACACTTATGTCACTGTTTCCTCCTCATGTCCTTACTGTGCATATCTGGAAAATGATATTTCATGAGTAATAATTAAAAAAAAATCTATACATATAAAACACACACACACACACACACACATACAGTGACATTTTAAATTATCTCCAGAATACTGTATATACTATGGCCACAACTTTGCATCATAGTGTTGATCCAGAATCCTTCCCTTATTATTTATTCCTAGTGCTATAATAATAATAAAGTAAGAATAAAACATAAAGTAATAAATATAAAATAATGTATTTATGATGATTCAGTTTGTTTGACTATCCTCTCTGTGCAGGCAGAAACTTGATTAAATGTTTAAACTGCAGCGATACAATAATGTTGCTGCTTTAAAATCAGCATTTTGTCCTATTTGAAATATAAATCTAATATAATCTGTTTCTCAATGTATTTTTAAAACAGTGATTTTTCCTAATATCATAATTATAATCATTCATAATTATGTGGATATGCATATTAGATAGTGTTCAGTCAAATATAAGTCCTCCACAAAGGCAGGAAAAGACCTGTAACTTACTTTAAAACTAAACATGTTCCCTAAAACGGTGACAGAGCTACAGACCCCTGACAGCCTTACCCAGCTAGCAGCTGTGACCAGCACTACTTGTGCAGTTAATAACAGGACAGGTAATGTTTGTCACGCTGTTGCACACACAGCACGCTCATTAGTTTCAAATTGTCAGTTGCCACAAAACAACTTACCAATGTGTCCATAATAAGCTAATACTGCTGTGTGCTATAGACTACAGTGTACGCAGTACAGTTACTTACTGGTTTTTGATGCATCAGTCTGCATCTCCCAGTTATTTTGTCTGTTTCTCCTACAGTTTCACACCTCTCAGGCGGAAAAAATGCGCGTGCACTTTGCGAGCTCGTTTCTGGTTCGTAACCAGTGCGCTCTGCTGTCAAGGGCGATCATTGGGTAATGGTAGTCATGTGACTGATGCAAGCCAGATCCTTTAATCTAGCAAAACTATGATTAATAGCTAAATGTTATTATTGACCAATGTTCCCTCTAATTTTTCATGTGTCTGAGCAAACACACAAACTCCCTGAGCGTCCCTTGGACCGCTGTGAGCGACAGCAGATGTGTGCACTGTGGTCACGCCAGCATCTAATCCATCCAAGTTACATGGTTTATTAAAATAATCAAATTACAGCATTTACATTTATGTTAGACTACTTTTAATTAACTGCTTTAGCCCACTTACAATGAAAATGTAAAAAGTCTTGTTCATGATCTGTGTAGTATGTTAACACTATTGGAAGTAAAAATAACTTGAACTCCAATTTTAAAAACACAACTTTCTTTCTTTTTCTTTTTTTCATAAAGCTCTGACTTGTATTATGAGTCTGTGGTCTGGGAGAGAGTCTGTAACTCTCTGTCTGCAAAATATAGTATATAATGACCAATATTGGGCAATTAATTATATAGTTACTTCTTCAAAAAAGTAACTCAGTTTTTTGCAGCTTTTTTTTTAATGCAGCCAAGGTGTTTTTAAATAAACATTTCAAACTATTTACAGAACAATCAGCTGTTCTGCATCAAATCTGATGCCACACAAATTATTTGTGCCGCTCCAAAAATAATTTCTGTCCACTATGAGATGAAGGAGAACAGCAGCCTGATACCTGCAGGCTTGACAACAGCAGATGTATCACTGCTGTAACACCTGTAACACTCAGCAGTCGCCTCATTGTTCTGACATACACAACAAAACTATTGACTACACTACACACTAACTACACGCAATTTGCGCTAAACGTTGCAAATCTCTCACATCTCAAAACACCGCCGTCACTCCTAAAACTTCCCCCCGTGTCTTAACAGCTAGATGCCACGTTGCCATATCATTTTTTGATTGGTCAACATGGTACTTTTTTCGACCAATAGGAAAGCGTGGGGGGTTGGTTTTGTTTTTGCTCACAGGTGTAGAGTGCTTTCGAGCGTTATAAAACGCCGTTTTTACCGTTTCTTCCTGCAGTAAATATAAACAACGACAGTATTCAGGAAGAAAAACAAACATTGCAGATATTTTATCATAACTCTGGTTTTACGTGGCCGATCAACACAATTTAAAAACTGGTATAAAGTCCACACTTTGTCCGTCAGTTGTTCCGTCTGTCCTGCTCACATCTCCAGTGGTTGTCCACGTTGTCATTAACGTGGCTTCACTCCACATCAGCCACGCTGCTTTGCTAGTTAAAACACCGGTGTCGGCACATAAGGACGCTGTCATCAACGACGTTGATTAGCTGCGTATATACGAATGTGAATCGCATCATTGGCTGGACTATGGGATAAGGTGGTATCGTTCTAAACACATACAGGAGCAGCCAGTGACTTACTGACTAACACTACAAAACAGAATTGTTGAAATTTTAATTTCAATTCAGGTTAGATTATTTTTGTGCACAACGCAGATTTTCTGTGCGCAGAGACCGTGCCAGCAGTGCGCAATTGCGCACGTGTGCAGCTTAGAGGGAACATTGTTATTAAGGGGTACAGGCAGGACTCCACACACACACACACACACACACACACACACACACACACACACACACACACATGAAAAAAATACTAATAATTTTTAAAAAAAATTATAAAAATTTGCCTCAAAAAAAGGGCACTTGGGCCACCCATCAGGGAAGGGGCAGGTGCTCAAGCCCCTTCTGCCCCCACGTCTGCACATGCCTGGTGGGGACAGCTGTTGGTCCAGGCCTGCGTGGAAGAAGGTGGAGTAAAGCCAGTGGTGTCGTTAGGCCTATTTTAGGGGTGCTGAAGCCTCCCTAAAGCTGTGTGGCAGGTCAAATTGCTGACTGAAGTCTTGTCTGTGTTTCTGCAGATTTTTGTCTTGAAAAGAAGGAAGAAGAGAGAGACGCCTGAAGACGACGAGACGAGTTTTAGTTCAGAATCTTGAATTTGATCTGATGACTTTATTTCACTCTGAAGAGTAAAGACTGAACTGTAACCACAAACTTTCAGTTGTGTTTGATTTCAGAGGATACTGTTGAAGTAGTGTGTGTGTGTGTGTGTGTGTGTGTGTGTGTGTGTGTGTGTGTGTGTGTGTGTGTATTGGGATATTTTTGTCTTAAAATATTTAAGCCTGATCTTTTTAGGGCAAAGTCAGAGTCAGGATTCAGATTTATCAGGTTAAAATTACAAGAAAGGAAAGGAGGAAAAAATAAAAGGCAGAAAAGGAGATAGGAAATGAATGAAACGGATGAGTAAAAGGTGTGAAAAGAAAGCAGAGACCATGTAAAAGAGAAGGAAGGACAGAGAAATCATGAACACGAAGAAAGAAAAAGAAAACCCTCGCCTCAGTTTAGTTTTATCAATATGTGACCAAATTACAGTCAGAGTGCTTCATACTGTAAAGAAAAGAATGATACTGAGAAAGGCTTGAAGAAACAGAAGAAGAAAACGAGGGTCAATGTTTGAGGAGGAAGAAGAGTGAGAGATGAAGCTCTGAAGTTGAAGTCCAGACTGATCAGGTCACGTTTTATTCTTTGTTCTTAATTATTTGTATTTGAAATAATTAATGATAATCATATTGTATATGATTAGGTTAAAGCATGTCTGACATTTTATTCTTCATCAAAGCGCTGCTGTAGCGCTCCTCTGTCGCCAGGTGGTGCCCTCGGGCTCCTTATACCTCGAGTAGGCTCCGGTGCGCGTCCGCGTGGGACAGCGGGTGCACAGAACGAGCGAGAAAGAACATCTGACTCCAAACGCGCGCGCGCGCAAGGGAGGATGCAGTCTCGGTTCAGACAACAGACGCGGAGCTAAAAAAGACGAAGAAGAACCGGGAGAACCGAGCCAACCCGCCGACACCGGAACCATCGGGACCAGCAGCGGGCTGGGCAGCAGCCGCCGGGCCAAACCTCCTCCCTGTCGGTGTGACTGTGCTGCAAGCCCCGGAGAGGAGGAGGAAGATGAAGAAAAGCAACCAAAGCAGGCGGGTCAGTGAGAGAGAGAGAGCTCAGGATCGATCAGTGTGATCGCTGATCGTTGACTCCGATCGCTGGTGTTTTCTGTCCGTTTGTTTGCGTCACGTGACGCTGCTTTGTGCTTTATTGAAGCTTCATTTTTGTTTAACCTTTATTTAAACACATCTCTGACACAAACTGAGCTGAGACAGGTGATGTGAGGTGAGGGTGGTGCAGTGATGCCTCCACCCTGCTCGGAGCTGCAGCTTCGTTCAGGAAGTTTCTCCTTTTTTTGTTCACAAAGAAAATCTGCGGTTTCAACACCATCGATGACGTCACGATGCCGCCATAGCCATGGCTCTTTCTTTTATTTATGTAGTTATTTTTCTTCTCGTTATTTTGTTTTCATTTCATTTCTATTTATGAAGACAATCATTACATGTTTACATCTTTGCCTTGTTTTTATCGTAATTCCTACCTGTGTGCATTTCTCTTATTTGCCAGTATTAGGAATCTGTCAGTATAATTTTATGTGATTGTTTCACACACGTGTTTGAGATTCTTCCCAGTTTAAACGTCTGATGAAAACTGTGTGTAGATCAGGTTCATTCTGCCTCTAATGACCTGTTTGGTATACAGTTTTAGAAAGCTGCAGTGCTCCCATTTTTTCTTTACCTCAGATTTCTTTTTTGTCTCTCGGCCGTTTCGCGTCACCTCTACATTGTTTACTGTTTTTGTTTCCCACCGAGGTCATTTCCTGTTTTTCTGACATAATTTTGTGTCTTCAAATATTACTTGTTTTATATGTCATGTTTATATCTCTCTGGGTAGTTTAATGCCTGGTTTAGTCTCTCTCAGGCCGTTTGCCTGTTTGTGTCTTTGAGCTCGATCCTCTCTGTTGTCTTTATTCTTTGTGGGTCAAATGTTTTCTGTCCTACTCTCATTTGCTTATTGCCTTGCCTCTGTGGGTCTTCCCATCTTTCTTAGATTCTTTTGTTCCTCTTGCATTGTATCTTCATCGGTCTCCGTTGGTCTTTGTGTTTCTCTGAATCCTCCTGTTATCGTTGTGTTGTAGGGTGTTCAGGACTCCGGTCCGCTGCCCGTCCAGCAGCCGGAGAAGGTGGGCTGGATCCGGAAGTTCTGCGGTCGAGGGATTTTCAGGGAGCTGTGGAGGAGTCGGTACATGGTGCTGAGAGGAGACCATCTCTACATCTCAGACAAGGAGGTGAGAACACCAATCAGAGAAACTGGACAGACCCCCTATGGGCTGCTGGTTCCAGTCTGCTGGACAGGCCAGGGAGGACTGTGGGTAGGCTGTGCCAGACGACAGGTTTACCGGGTGCAGCTAATCCGTAGCTCACATCTCTGATCTAGTTTGATATTTTCTCTGTGGTGTGTTGTTCAGATAAAAAGAGCTCAACAGTTAAACAGAGATTGTAGATGCATCATTTACAGATGTTTGCAAGGAGAAACAGGCAGAAGCTGTGAGATGGTCCTAAAGCAGAGTGTTTCTTATTTAAAAGTCATTTTCAGAATTGTAAAACCTTATTGTGGATGTAAGAGCCAAATTATGTGGACAATTTGCATCCAACTCATTGTGTAACATTTTATTTGGTGGTATTTGATGGTTTGGGCCCCAGGAAGACTAGCAACCACTGTTGTGGAAGCTAATGGGGTTCCTTATTAATAAACAAATAAACAATGCAGTAAAAAGACAAAGAAATGTCATGTGAAACAGAGGAAATGGGGATTAATCCAAAGGAAGATGTAAATGTTTGTGGGTTAACGCGTTTGAGGCCGGACCTTGGATTTTCATCAAGTGAGAGGATCTCGGCAGTCCCGCTCTGTTTATTTTCAGCTCTGATGACGCTGAGTCATTTCTAAACAACGGCAAGTCACACAGAGTGATCATGTGACCTCTGATGTCATGTTCTGATTTCAGAAATATGTCCTGAGTGAAGAAGAGACAGACATGATGTTTGTGAACAAACAAGACCTTATCCCACAGAGTGGTTTCATGGCAGCGAGTGCTGTTTTTAATCCTGCCGGCTACACACAGCTGGCAAGGGTCATTTCCAGCTGGGAGGGGTTTCAGGGGCTTCCTGAGGGTATCATCATCTCTGATGTTTCGCCAGAACTCCCTCAAAAGCTGTTTAGGGTTCAAGCAGTAGAAGTGAGCCGCTTTCTCTGAGAGTAGCTCGGCTCTCCTGTAGAGATCAGGTGAAGAGCTCAGTCATTTAAGACTGACTCACTGTACCACTGCTGCTCCTCCACATAGAAAGGAGCCAGTGGAGGACACCTCCCAGGTCAGGTGTTATGGGGCAGATCACAGACACGCTGCAGATATTTCTGTATGGCCCTCAGCTGTCCTGGGAATGCCTCAAGGAGACTGGGAGAGGAAGGTCTGGAAGTCTCTGTCTAAAGTGCTGCCCCCAACAACCAAATAACAGGTAAAAGATGGACATCCCTTATTTTCTCTGTGGTATATGTCCGTATATTCCCTGAACGCAGTGTGGAGGCAGGTGTAAATGTGGCTGCAGCAGGTGTGTTTGGACTAAGAAGTGTTCGCACTGGCCTTATGTAAGCGTCTATTACGCAAGAGCACAGCAAAGATCGTGGACGCTGAGTCAGACTTTGTTCTTGCCAAAACTCTGAGTTTAACTCTCAGGAAGAGGAGGACGACGATGTCTGTCAGCTCGTGGACACATCAGGACACAGGAAATGCCTCGCAGCTGGCTTTGAGCTTCTCTATTTCACAGATAGAAACAAAAAGAAATACAGTAAAGGGAAAAGATGCCTGAGGTCATCAGGATCACACACAAACCTGCCACTCAAAATCCATTCACTCAGTAAAACCAGAGCTCCACCTTCTTATGTACAGTAACCTTGCAGCAGTCATATTATTGGTCATGTAATGTCATCAAAACGCTCCAAAAGGCTCCAACAACACAAACACGATCCAGGGTCCAGTTCAGGTGAAGGCTAGCAGACAGCTAACAGCTACAGCCTTCTGTGTCACCATCCACCTGTCAGTCACAGAGGTCACGCCCCCAATAATGCAAACTTTGATGCACGTGAGCCACAGAAGAATGCAAAGAATGCAACACGGTGAGTTATAAACAGGTGTTATGAAGGAATGAGGAAACGTCAAAGGTGCACTCACGTTTCTTAAAAGTACAAAAAATCAGCTGATTCATGGATTTGTGATGTTTTCATCAGGCTGTCGCCTTTATCCCCATCAAAGTCTCTCAGAAAACATTTTTTATATTTTTGCTTGTATTATTAACTGCATCTATCAAACAAGTCAGTTTTTAAAGAACGCAGCTACACCAAGACTACAGTTAACATTTCATTTCACAGTATTACATGAATCCGAAAAGAAGTCAGAGATGACATTCGCTCCCTTTCTTAGTAAAAATTCTGGAAAAGATGGTGGCTGCACAGGTTTATAGACATCTCAGTGGAAATAACTTGTACGAACAGTTTCAGTCTGGCTTCTGTTCATGTCACAGTACAGAAACAGCCCTAGTAAAAATCACCAATGATCTTCTGCTTGCAGCTGACTCTGGACTCATTCTCCTTGACCTTACAGCAGCTTTTGACACTATCTCCCACTGCATCTTTCTTCACAGATTAGTATCTATTGGCATCAATGGTACAGTACTCTCCTGGTTTACCTCGTATCTCTCTGGCCGCTCACAGTTTATTCAATTACTCACTCAAAGATCAGGATCTACTCCAGTTAATTCTGGTGTATCCCAAGGCTCTGTCCTGGGTCCTTTACTTTTTATCATCTATCTCCTACGCCTAGGTAATATTTTCAGGAAGCATAACAATCAAGGTCTGGTTTACTCACAACTTTCTTAAACTTAATGGCAATAAAACAGAATTCATTTTAATAGGCACCAGATCAAAACTGACTAAAGTCCCAACCTTTCATTATCCATTGATAACTCTGATGTCACACCCTGCCCTCAGGTTAAGAGTCCATATTTATCCGATCTTCTCCATACATACTCACCCCCTCGTACACTCCGCTCTTCTTCCTGCTTCCCTTCTGTCTGTTCCACCTGCTCGCCTGACTACTATGGGACTCAGAGCCTTTAGTTCGGATGCACTTCCACCAGATCTCCGTACCACAAACTCTCTCACCACTTTTAAATCACGTCTCAAAACCATCTATTCAGAATTGCATACACCTGATCTGTCTTAGTCCATTTTTACCTTGGTCAGCCTTAATACTTTTGTGCTTGTGGGGTTTTTTTTAACCTTAGGAGCTTGGAAAGAAAAGCGTCTGGACTTCTTTAAGTTGATTGAAGAAGTTTCAGCTCTCATCCAAAGAGTGTCGTCTACATACCTGTACCAGTGGCTGGGTACTCTCCCTTTAAAAGAGCCAAGAGCCTTCCTTTCCACTTCCTCCATGTAAAGGTTGGCTACAATAGGTGACACGGGGGAGCCCATGGCACAGCCATGTTTTTGTCCGTAGAAACCCTCATTATATTTGAAATATGTAGTGGTAAGGCAGAGGTCGAACAATGTGCAAATCTGATCGGGGGGTGAAGTTGGTCCTGTCTTCCAAGGAGCTGTGATATATAAGGCGGTCAATGATTTTGTCCTTTTCAAGGTTTTGAAGCCAAGCTATAACTTTCTTTTTGTAGCTGCTTGTGGGTCTTGCTTTAAGGCTTCGTTGGTATTGTTGTCACTGAGGAGAGTAGTGATCTTTGTGTGGTAATCTGTAGTGTTTAGGATCACGGTGCATCTTCCCTTATCAGCTGGTAATATAGTGATGTTGTGGTCTTTGCTCAGGGAAGCGACGGCCTTCTTTTCTTGTATTGTGAGGTTAGACGGAGGGACTTTGGCACTGGAGAGGGTGGCTAAGACTTTCATCCTGATTTGCCTGCTTCTGTTGGCAACCTCAACACTGAAGTTTACCGGAAGCCCACACACACGGACCAGTACCTCCTCTTTGACTCCCATCACCCTCTGGAGCACAAACTTGGAGTAATCAGGACCCTACACCACCGGGCAGAACATGTTCCCTCTAAGCCTGAAGGGAAAAAGAAGGAACACACACATGTAAAGGAAGCACTCAAAACGTGCGGCTATCCTAAATGGGCGTTCTTAAAGTCAGCAAAGAGGCAGAGAAAAGAAGACCAGACACCAGCGAGGGAGGATAAGAAGGACAGACGCAACAACATTGTCATCCCCTATGTAGCCGGTGTATCAGAAAAACTCAGGAGAGTTTTCTCCAAGCATGACATCCCAGTGTATTTCAGACCCAGCAACACACTCAGAGACAAACTGGTTCACCCGAAAGACAAAACGCCAAAACACAAACTTAACAATGTGGTGTATGCTGTACAGTGCAGCGAGGAATGCTCAGACCTCTACATTGGAGAGACCAAACAGCCACTTCACAAGCGCATGGCACAACACAGAAGAGCCACCTCCACAGGACAAGACTCAGCTGTTCATCTGCATCTAAAGGTCAAAGGTCACTCTTTCGAGGATGTTCACATGTTGGACAGAGGACAGATGGTTTGAAAGAGGAGTGAAAGAAGCATCTATGTCCACTGTGAGCGACCATCTTTGAACAGAGGCGGGGGTTTACGACACCAACTCTCTGCCATCTATAATCCAGTTTTGAGATCCTTCCCAGACGCCTTAACGCCCACTCACATCCTGGGCCATCTGACCTCAGGAATTCGCATGATAAGGTGGGGCCAGGTTTCACAATGAGCTCACCCGAAACCCTGGCTGATTGTAACCCACACCCGTTTTCACACCTCGGCTCATGTGATTAGGTAGAGGATCATCAGGGGTCCTTTTGTCCTTCTGTGGGGGGATACTCCCACTGGGTTTAAATGTGGGACTCCCCACCATGTGACCTTAGAACTGAAGAAGCTTCTCGGATGAGAGGTGAAACGTCTTCAAGCAACTTAAAGAAGTCCAGACGCTTTTCTTTCCAAGCTCCTTAGACTACGATGACCTGGATGACTGAGAACCTTCACAGACATTTTTTTAACCGTATGTCTAAATTTTATTTTGCCATGTTTATTATATTTTATTGCTGCTATTGTTCTTGTGTTGTTGTAAGGTGACCTTGAGGGTCTGAAAGGCGCCTATAATTAAAATGTATTATTATTATTAACGTCAATTTTACTTTAACACAAGCATGAAAAGATTATGTCTATTGATCAAATCTCAAAACCTTTTTTAATGCAAGTTTTATATGGATTGTTTTGAATTCAGTGATAAGATAAGAAGAACTTTGTTTATCCCGTTGGAAATTCTTTTGTCAGAGCCATGCTCAGTGCAGCAAGAGAAAGAGAGGAACAGAGGAATAAAGATGTACAATAAGAATTGTAGGATACAGTAGGATAGTGCAAATATAATATCAAAATAACTCAAAGTAACAATATGAATATATCAGGTAAAATAAAATAACATAACTATCAGTGCAGGTGATAAAAAACGTGGCGTAGTATTGTGTAATGAATAAAAAGAGAGTAGCAGTGTGTGATGGGGGATGAAACAAACATTCAGTAACATACAGATAAGTACGAGATTTATTCTGCTGTGAGCAGCAGAGTAATGACTCACGTTAACCCAGAGAGAGAGTGTGTGTGCTTGTGACTTGTTCCATCATTACTCGTCATATTTCATCTTGTTCCTGTTCTTCAGCAGTACGCTAACCCAGAACTTTTTAACGTACATGCCTGAGGGAGGACTCGCTGTGTGTGTGTTTCTGCTCTGTGACAACCATTTTTACTGTTTAACTGTCATTGTTGGGAGTGTTTTGGTTTGTGAGGACATTTCTGTTTTTGGACACACATTATTTTGTTTACACTGATTCTTGTGGACCGTTCAGAAACGGTGTTGGAATTAATCTTTCAATCTATGCTTTTAGTCTGATAGTGATTTCAGCATGAGTTCCTGCCCCAAGTGGTGGAGTTTAAGTATGACGGGGTCTTGTTCACGAGTGACGGGAGAAGGGAGCGGGAGATCAACAGACGGATTGGTGCAGCGGCTGCAGTGATGCGGACGCTGTACCGGTCTGTTGTGGTGAAGAGAGAGCTGAGTGTAAGACCAAAGCTCTCGATTTACCGGTCGATCTACGTCCCTGTCCTCACCTATGGCCACGAGCTGTGGGTAGTGACCAAAAGAACAAGATCGCGGATACAAGCGGTGGAAATGAGCTTCCTCCAAAGGGTGGCTGGTCTCTCCCTTAGAGATCGGGTGAGAAGTTCGGCCATTCGGGAGAGGCTCAGAGTAGAGCCGCTGCTCCTCCACATCGAAAAGAGCCAGCTGAGGTAGTTCGGGCATCTGACCAGGATGCCTCCTGGGCGAGGTTTTCCGGGCATGTCCCACCAGGAGGCCCCGGGGCAGACCCAGGACACGCTGGAGAGATTATATCTCTCGGCTGGCCGGGGAACCCCTTGGTGTTCCCCCGGATAAACTGGAGGAGGTAAAACGGTCAGATGGCCCTTTAATCTCAGGTGTGTTCACAGATCTCAGACAGCAGCTGCTCAGTGTGTTCAGCCAGCTGTTAACAAGCAGTGTGACACACACACACACTCCTTTGTCACTGCATCTGTGCTAGCGTGTATGCAGAGCGTTATTAGAGACACACAGAATTCATTCATCTCTAATCTCAGATTATTTTAACTTGCATGCTTCCTCTAAACCAGGGGTGTCCAACTCCAGGCCTCGAGGGCCGGTGTCCTGCAGGTTTTACATGTGTCCTTGATCCAACACAGCTGATTTAAATGGCTAAATGACCTCCTCAACATGTCTTGAAGTTCTCCAGAGGCCTGGCAATGAACTTATCATGTGGTTCAGGTGTGCTGACCCAGGGGACACGGCCCTCGAGGCCTGGAGTTGGACACCCCTGCTGTAAGCTGTCCTGTACACTTATGTTCTTCCATCATGAACCTGCAGAACTGATCGCTGTTATTTGTAAACCATGCTGATGCAGGTGTGTTTTTGTGTTTCAGGTGAAAGATGAACGTAAGGCTCAGGAAGTGTTCGACCTGGCTGATTACGAGCGCTCCGAGGAGCTGAGGAAGGCCAAGAGCCGCAGCAAGAAGAACCACAGCCGCTTCACGGTGCTGCGCTGCAAGCAGCCGGGAAACACCGTGAGTCCACCTGTCCGGCTGTTTACCTGTCGTCTTGAGTGTAACTAACAGAATTACAGAATATGTGTGTCAGTGTTTTTGTCTCGCGCCTCAAGTTTCTGGTTTCATGGAGCATCTGATCCAAAAGTGAAACCTCTGTCCGCGCCCATCTTTTCGTGTCTTGGTGTTCGGAGATTATGCTGTCCTGCTTGACCTCGATGGTGGAGTTCCTCCTACATGTGCCTCAGGATTGGTGGATAAGATTTGAGATGTCCTGCCCCATCTGTGTTCTGCGATTGGCTGAGCTGCATGCTTTTTGTTCCTATTCTGAACAGGTTTAATCTGCAGAATCCAATTAGACTGCCAGAGGATGAGTCAGAGCGGAATAATCCCAGAAACTACTGCAGTTTGTCACGCTCTGCTCTTTCTACTTCTACGATTTGACCTTCAGCTTTAATTTAATAAAACAAGAATCTACATTCTGATTGTATAGAGTCAGGATCAGGGTCATTACCTCAGAGGGTTAAATAAACTTTGTGTGTAAATTTGTGTTGGGCCGCAACAAACACTCTATAAAATTTCTAGATGTGAAAAAATTGATGTTTGAGTTCATTTAGAGATCCTACAACTGGAGGTAGAGTAGATGTATTTGGCTAAGGATGATGAAGACGAAGCTGCCAGGCAGGAGCAAAAGAGCAAGGCCTTAAAGAAGATTCATGGATGTAGTGAAGGAGGACATGCAGAGGATGGTGTGACAGAGGAGGATGCTGGGATAGGAGGAGACTAATGCTGGGCTTACACTGTGCAATTTTTGGCCCATTTTGAGCCGAGTTTTGAGTCGTGCGACCGTTTTGGCGATCGGCCCGATTTTGGCCTTCATTGTGCGTCGTGCATTGTGTAGTATGCGTGGGGTAACGAGAAGCGATTAACACCTCACGACCAGCTCCCGATCATCAGTCGCTTGGTCGCGAGGATTTCAAACCGGTTTGAAATCCTCGCGACCGTCGTGAGGGTGTCACCGCAGTTTCTCACACTGCGCACATGCAAACACAAATGGCAGTGAAAAAGACGGCGCAGCACGGCTGTGCAGCGTGTGATCTGGACACAAGCGATGGAGGTACAACTTGTAGAACTGTGGCAAGCTCATCCGAGCCTTTTCCATGTAGCCTCACAAAATTATCACGACCACAACAACCGTGAAAATAGTTGGATTTACATCGCTGCTCAATCACAGCTGCCTGATCAATGTTTTTCATTAGCAATTTAGCAAAGTTGATGGTGGTGGTGTGTCTGTGTGAGTGAAAGACAGAGAGGAAGAGCGAGCGACCGAATTTCTGTTATAACCTTCATTTTATGGACGCACAGTGTGAGCACTCGGGTCGCATCAGAGCATCGGGCCGTATAGTGTGAGACCTGCATCGTGACCTATGAACTTCTAACCCCTGCGAGTCAATCGTACAGTTTGAGCAGGAGCTGAATCGCGCGACTGAAAAAAATCGCACAGTGTCTGCCCAGCATAAGGTAGATCATCCATCGTGGCGCCCACTAAAGCATGGGGTGTCCAGCTCCAGGCCTCGAGTGCCGGTGTCCAGCAGGTTTTAGATCTCACCCCTGAATCAAATGATTACCGGGTAGTTTATTACCAGGCTTGTGGAGAACTTCAAGACATGTTGAGAAGGTCATTTAGCTATTTTAATCAGCTGTCATGGATCAAGGACACATCTAAAACCTGCAGGACACCGGCTCTCGAGGCCTGGAGTTGGACACCTGTGCCCTAAAGGGAGCAGCTGAAACTCATAGAACAACACATAACCTTAAAACTTAAAAGAATGTAAGTACTTCTCAGAGTATGTGTGCTTCTCTAATGGCTTTCTGTAAATGTATCATTTACTTGCTACAACATGGCAAGTTCCAACGTATGGTGGGAGCTATCTGGTGAAGCTAATGTGCCTTAAAGAAAACTCAAATAAAAAGTAAAAAACCCAATAAAATATGGATGTTTCATCAGCTGCAAGACTCAAAAACTGACATTTAAGTTCTTGCACCATTTCAGGGGTAAACTATGTATTTCATATGACATCAGATTGGTAAGAATATTCTTTTTGCAGGCTCCAAACCTCGTGTTTCTGGCTGTGAGCCCTGAGGAGAAAGAATCATGGGTAAACGCCCTCAGCATCGCCATCATCAAAGCGAAGAACAGAGTTTTGGATGAGGTGCGGGCTGCTTTTTTCATGGATTCAAATGTTTTAATAACACCTCGGCCACCTTTTTTAACAGGGTGTTAACTCAGTTTGTCTGCGTACAGGTGACCATTGAGGAGGACAGCACGCTGGTTCATCCCACCAGAGATCGAGCAAAGATCCCTTATGGTCGCCGGCTGCCGACCAAAGGACATCTCATGGCCGTGGTACTGGGAGCCTTTTTTCCATCTGTCTTGTGGTCTGAATGTTAAGATAATGTTATTGCTATTAAAGTCATGTTCTCACTGCAGGCATCCACCTCTTCCCATGGCATGCTGACACTCGACCTGGTGGCCGAAGAGGATGTTTTTTCACACGACTACGATGGCGACTGGAATAACAGCTTTCGGGTCGACCTGCAGGGGGGCGGGTCTTGTGGACAGATTGGAGTAGGTCGTCAGCGAGCTGGAACAGACGTATCAAAGCTGCGGATGACATCCAAGGAGCCCAAAGTGAAGACTAGCAGTCTGCCCAGGGGCAGTGAGCGGTCCTGGGGAAAGCATCTGGAGGCCTCCAAGGTCCACAAGTCTCCACAAATAGAGGTGGGCCCTTCAGATCCACATTAACCTTTTTTTACTTCTGGAAGCATGTGGCTTCAAGTTTTTATTGAATATCTTTGCTAAAATGAGCACTAAATCGCGACACCTACCTGAATAGAATGTTACCTTTCAGGTTCTCCAGGCTCAGTATCGAACGCCACAGCCAGGGAAGAGGTTCAGTATGCAGGGCCGGAGTCGCTGTGCCTCCATGGATGAAGTCCTCTCATCCAGGTATGACCTGGTAATAAACAAAGTTAGGGAGTAAACAGATGCAGAGTTCAGGCTTTCTTCTGCAGAGTATCAGGCTGTCAGGTATTCAGGATACTCAGGAGAAGTAGAGTCCATGGTTAAAGTCAGTGTCTGGCCTGCTGGACTCACTACTGCTCAAGTCTGACTGAACCAGTGAAACCCATTTCAGTGTCTTTGACCTTTATGTCTTGAAATTTTGAAACATCACCTTCTCCACTCTTCTGTCACCCTAACCCTCTTCCTTTTCTCTAGACCAGTAATGATTCGCTCAGAGTTCTGCTCTGCTGTTGGGCGATGTCCAGCTGAAGTGGAAGCGGGAGTCGAGGCCTCGGCCCAGCCTTTGGGTCAGATCCAGAGCCTTATTGCCCAGAGGATGCAGCGAGCTCAGGAATTGCTGGAGGAGATGAGACTGCAGGTTTGACTGCTTCATTCATAAATGTATAGATTCGTTTACTGATCATTTTCATGATGTCAACTGGCTTAGGTGGCAATTATTTTTTATAAGATAAATGACAATACTTGTGCTTTGGATTGACACTTTTAGGTCCACCAGGTGGAAGTTCTATTAATCAGACCACAACAAAACCTGAACTATAGCACTGACATTAGTTCACTTTGTCACAGCCGATTGGATTTGCTGCCGGTAGTGGACGTTTGTGGATGTGCAGGATAAGCCATGTAAACAATAAACTTCGCTACCCTTGCAATCAGGCACCACAAATGCCTGACATACCTGTCATCACAAGACTGCTCCAGTTGAGTGAATAACTGGAGCTGGCGGGGCCGTCAGCGTTGGACGACCCCGTGTCACCGCTGAATGCATCGCAGATGCTACATTCTGCTAAAGGTCATGAACACATCCCAACACACTGCCCCAATAGGTTATTAAAGCCTGGCCAATCTGTCCCCAGAATTAAGGGGTGCACAGGATAACTGCAGCCTTTATTGTACAATCAAAACTGCTCCCAACGATCATAGATGTTTACATCTGCGCTGTAACTGCAATCATTTAATCAACCAATTCGCACTACAACCTGGTTTGCCTCTTATCTGTAGTTAATTTAATTTAATTTAATAACTGTACAGCACACTGTTTATAGTAACCATTGTCCTTGATGTAAATATGTAAGAAGACATTGTGTGTTTCTGTGTCCTGTGTACTGTTTGTATGTGTGTCTTTCTGGCTGCTGTTACAACCAAATTTCCCCTTGTGGGACAATTAAAGGATTAAAGGATTATTCTATTCACTGACCTTGCATTTAATTTGCAGTGGCACTATGGGATATTATGTATGTCCTCATACATACACACTTAACCTCCACACACTCAGCCTCCAGCAATGCCCCGGATCGAACCACGGTCTGCAGCCTGTGTCCACTAAGGCTGGCCTTGGTACCTTATCCGTACACTGTATGTCCCTCTCAGACCAAGGGAGGGTGTTGGAGGGCCTGGACACATAACACCCTGCCCACCAACACCACATATCTCTCTGACCTGGTTCAGATCACCATCCCATCTCGGTGTCTCAGATCTTCTTCTTCTCTTTCTCTCTCTGTCCCCTCCCCGTCTTGCCACCATGGGGAGCAGGGCTTTCAGCTGCTCCACGACTCTGGATTCCCTTCCTCCTGATTTAAGAAATATCTCTTCCTTTTCTCTCTTTAAGTCCCAACTCAAAACTCGTTCAAAATAGCTTATCCCATTATTATTATTATTACATACCGCTCTGTCATCCAGCCCCAGGATTGTCCTTAAAAGGGGAGGCATGATTACATGATGAGGTCAGGTGTGTGCGTCAGCCTCCCTGACACCACCCTTCCTCTGTGGCTGAGCTACAAACCACGCTACGCCACAAACAGAATGAACTCTTTGGGATTTCCTTACCTGGATGATTGAGCATACATCAAGTTAGCTTATGGTTATTTTGCAAGCACTAGCAGGACAAATTCTCTTCCTCCGCCCTGTACCCTGTTTCATCTCCATCAAAGATGAGCCCAACCACGGTGGTGTCGTCTGCTGCCAACAGGCTCTGCTGGTCTTTGTAGTTGGTGAGAGCTTGGTTACCTCTTCACACCTGGCAGGGGTTGTTATCAGTGAGGAAGCCCTCTACGCTTCTCCTGTAGGCCTCCTTGTCCTGTTTGATGTCTGTCCTCTGGTAGCGCTGTAAAGAGAACTGTCCCTCAGCCTGAAGGCTGAGTTCTGATCAGAGCCGGGCCTTCAGATTTCGTGCCTTATTAAAGTCCCCAGCAACAATATGGATGCCCTCCGGGTGCTCTCTTTGCTGTTTAGGTGTTGTTGGAGGTGGTTGAGTGGCGAGCTAACGTCAGCATTGCGGGGGGCAGCTGTAAACAATGGTAACTATGACTACCATTAGCTTGCAAGGTAGAAGGGCCTGAACTGATTGGACATGAGCTCCAAGTCCCGTGAGCACTGACTGTATATAACTCTACTGTTACAGCACCAGTAGTCTCTCCGCCCTTTCCCTTACAGGAGTCTTTGTTGTGGTCCCGATGGTGTAGGCTCTGGCCCGATAACTCCACTGAGGCATTAAGGATTTTTGGATGGTGTCAGCACTCAGTTACAATCTGTAGACGACACGGTTGTAGTAAATCTCTGATTGTAGCTGTTTCGTTTGCAAGGGATCTGGCGTTGGTGTTGAAGATGGACAGAAGCGGGGTTTGTAGTGTTGTTTTCACAGCTGGACCTGATAGCCAGCTCTGCTTCTCCACTTTTGTTTCCTCTCCTTGCGCTGTCTGCAACGCTTGGCGCTCCCAACAATAACCCACGGAGCCCTGATGGTCTTGAAACTCAGGTGGAATAATGTCAGTCCAATCCAATGTAAAGGTTCAGGCTGACGCCGATGTCGATTAGTTCCCGACAGCTGAAAGTAATCAGTGCATTGCAGGAAGAAAAAGAGAAATAAACAACACAAAAAGGGTACACAGTAGCTGGGAGCACTGTGCCCCTATACATCAGCACGTGCTGCCATCTTATATGGGTAATGTTGTTTCTGACAGGAGCTGCAGAAGACCAAAGCAGAGCGAGAACGAGAGGGCAGTTCACCTTATCTGAAGGGCATCAACTCTCCTCGACTCCATCACCTCAGGGGCTCAGAGTCACCTCACTCCAGGTCAGTTTTAGCACCTTAATTAATAATTGACATTATTGATTAGTTCACATCAATATTTGTGTTTTGATTTGCAAAGCAGATATATAAAATGTAGACTGCATATCCCAAAATCAAATTCCAAAAAGACTTTTCCCATGATCTGTCCGTTACAGTATGTTTGATGCAGTACCAAACATATTTGTGTTTGTGGTACTGCAGTTTGTAAAGAAGAAAACACAAAGTTCTCAAATGGTTGGAAAGATTAATTTAATACTGATTGTTGAACTTAAAATCAGATTTTTGTCGCCATCTTTAGCAGGTCATCGGGATCTCCGAGGAGCCGGAGCAGCGACTCTCCTCGCCTCAGAGGAAGAGAATCTCCTCGGTCCAAAGCCAAGAAGAATCGGTCCAAAGGAACTGACTCACCTCACTCCAGAGGATCCCATGCAGCCGCTGCTAAAGTCAGCGACTCTCCCAGGCTGAGTGGCTCTCCTCGGTCAAAGAGCACCGATGCAGCTCGATCTCCAAAACTCAAAGGACCATCCGCTGCCTCTCCCAACAAGCAAGGCAGCTCTCCAATACAGAAGCCATCCGACTCGCCTCTGAGCGTCGGACGATCTGACTTCTCTCAGGTTAAAGGATATGGTTCGCCACAAGGCAGTGAGACCGACTCTCCTCATCTAGGGAGCAATGAGGAGTCTCCTCTTCAGAGCCAGAACTCCCCGACCCTGTCCAGATCCTTCGAGTCCTCACAACCAACAACCCTTGACAGCCACCACCCCTCCCCACCTCCACCAGCCACCCAGCTGTCTGAGGATAACTCGGAGGTGGAGCAGAGGCGTGCCGAGGCTGAGCGGCTCCTGGAAGAGGCTGTGTCCTCGTGGAAGGAGGCGCAGGAGGTCCTGCAGGAGGTGAAGGAGCTCCAGAGCCAGACGCTGCGGCGGCAGCGTAGGAGGACCTATGAGAAGATGGCATCGGCAGCAGCGGCCGCTGGTATACCTGCACCGAGCGGCGCGGCAGAAGAAATGGACACGCTCATCTCGCCGACATCACCAGAGGACAAGGAAGATTCAGAGACACCTGAACGAGGAGTTTGAGTGTTCAGCAGTGACTTCTCGATGGAAGTAGCAGCGTTTCTTCAGCACGCAAACAGAAGCCTGCTTCAAACTCTGTCTCCATGTTTTAATCTGCGGACGGTGCACGTGACCACACAGAGCAGGATTGTTTCTGGGAGGGTTAATGGCTTAATCCTCCACAGTGCACTAAACAGGAAGTGTGTGTGTGTGTGGCAGATGTTTGACGCACACGTTTGACGGGGACCCTTTCCCCTTCTCTTCCTCCAATGGTGCTGCATGTTTATCTTCTTTCTCCGTCCTCCTGAAGGCAAAAAGATTTTCTGTTTATCTGTTGAACATTTTTGTTTTGTTTTTTTGAAGAAAACCTTTTCAAGATAAGATGTCAGCGTTTGTACATCAAGAAACTTTTTGAATTAGTCACTGAAGCACACTACGAGCACAGACGGGAGTCTGCTGGAAGTTTCCCCAGACTTTCACTCCGATAAAACATTCATGTATTTACTAATGTCATTGCTAATCTTCAAAGTTGTTGCTCTCTGCTTTCACTGTAGCAGAGATTCCTGTAAACGTCCTTCCAGCTCTTTTTAACCTCACAGGATTTTTGTAATCTGTGGATTTTTCTCAAAAATCAGGGAGTTTAATGTTAAACAAAGACACGAGAAGCAATAATGACACAAAGTCTTTACCTGTTCATGTGTTGCAGTTTACAAAAAAGAACTCAAACTCTGCATTCTGCAAAAAAAGCGGAAATTTAATTTGCACACTTGAAGCCCAGCAGATGCTGGATAGCATCAACCAATAAACAGCTGACATATTTGTTGTACACAGTGAGACATTTGCTTTAATGAAACATACATGTGACATAGAAAAAGGCTCAATAAAGTCTAATAAACAAACAAACAAAAAGTGTGCCAGCACATCCACCAAATATAAGAAATACGAGCCTTTAATCATCTACACAATAAAGTTACTACTTCAGTATATTTACGTTCCTGTTTATCTCTTTAAATATTAGTGTAGATAATTTACTATTAAAGCTCATAAAGAATTTAGGAATATAATGGAGACTTAAAGATACAAAAATTACATGGAAATTATATAAATCAGCAAAACTAGTTAATTGGAAAACAAGTAGGTAAACAAACCAATGAGAAGGATGAATGAATTTGTTGGTAACAAATGAATAAACAGTGGAACAGACACGTTAATCAAAGGTTAAAAGAAAATACAATTAGTAATGTCAGTTTGTGTTGCCTACATAAAAGATTTATTACATTTAGTGTTTTCAAGGCAATTGATTTGTTACTGTTTATTCATCAGGTTAAGTCCTTTGTAGTTTCTGTCCTCCAAATAAACCCATTTGGGTTTGTTGTTAATCATGTTCTGAATACGAATGTGCTGGCAGCTCAGGCATAAACATGCCCAACATGTGATGCATCTGTTAAATGTGTTTCACTGGCAGAAATACCTTTCTGAGATTGTTTTTGTTCAGCTGCACGATAATAATCGCCCGTTTTTACCAGTTTATCAGTGTAGCGCCAGATCATCAAATATTTACAGGAACTTTAATATACAAAGAAATATTCATAATCTGTACTGTAAACTTTGTTGTGTCACTATGTGCTGAATACTCAGAGACTAATTTCACTTCTACAAAGCTCCACATTTATGCATTTATAAACTTTGAAGCAATGAAAACTGTAACGTTAGCTGCAGCCAAACAGTTCAGTCTCCAGTTAAAGTTTAACGTGTCCTGCTCATCTGCAGCATGACTCCTCACACTGCAGATACACACAACAGCCATTTTATTGGTCAGATGGTGTCATTAAAAATGGCATCAACGGCACAAACGCAGTCGGGAGGTCCAGTTCAGGGACTCAAGTTAGTCTCAAATCACGAGACGCTACAGCATTGGAGATTTTTATACCAGACTTTCACTTTAAGGTCCTGTCTCTTTGAACAGCCCCCAAAACCCCTGCAGAGGTGCAGCTCCCAGGGCACAGAGCTTTACCTCATAGTCAAAGGTTTACGTGAAATTCAAACTTGTACTTCCTCTGTAGGTTCTGGTACTGAAAGCTTGACAGCTTGATTTGTGGTTCCTGTTGAACAGATTTTATTTCTCTTGATCTTTTTGCACATTTGAGCACTGAAAGACTACATCACGCCAGAAATCTTTGGACTATGAGAAAAGATTCTGATGTAGTTTGAATGACTGCACCTTGTTCCTTCACGTTTGTTAAATTATGGAATACATTATTTAAATGTTCTTTTTCTGATGTAAATCTGTATGGTAATGTTTTTGAATCATTGTAAACAGCATTGCTTTCGAGGTAAATGGCACCAAACGAACACTGATGATTTTCTTGTGGGGAGCATCCAGGGCTCGTCTTCACATGCAAACTACAAATAAGCTAAACTGGTGGAGGGATGAGAGTGTTCACCAGACTCTGTTCATCTCTTTTATTTGTGTTTACAGACAGCAGGAAGTATCCTGTCAACATGTCAGCTCTTTATGATTTAGGGCTTTTGGACCATTAAAGCTTCCATACTTTAGGCTGACATCATCATACTGTCCACATTTATTCATAGACATCGCGCTCAGCTCCAGGTGTGTGCGCTTTATGGTCATGAATTTCATAGACAGCTGTGGATTTCATATTTTTAGGTCTTTTTGTATCGAGGGTAGAAACAGCCAAATTCAGAAATATACATATATATTAGGGGTGCAACAATACACAAAATTCACGGTTTGGTTCGATACTTTGGTGTCACAGTTCGATATTCTTTCGATACAAAAAAAAATGTTCATGCCTTTTTAATTTGTCATTTATTAAAATTATAAATATATATTTTAACTCAAAAGTACAGTTTTTAAATTTAATGTTGCTGAAACAAAAAAGTAATAAAAATAAATAAATATATCTCAGGGCTCGCAAAATTTCAAAATCCCTGGTAGCCCTTCGGGCAGGAACTCTTCAGTTTTTGGTAGCCTAAAATAAATTTAAGTAACCTGAATAAAAAAAGAGAGCAATTTTTTGATTGATGTTTTGTTTCCTGTTTTGTTTCCTTTACAATATTATACATTAAAGTATAATATTGTAAAGGAAACAAAACATTAATCAAAAAATTGTTGAAAAACAAATTACAACATTGTATAAAAATTACAATCATCAACTCAAATACTTGGTTCTAATTGAACAGAAATTTCTATGAACTTGTAAGAACTGTGTAGGACATGAATCAGTCTGTGTCAGATCCTGAATCTGAAATTTCCACTGAAGTCACGGGTAAGAGGCAAGTGGAACCAAGATCGAGGACATTTGCTTTTTGAAGTTTGCAAAGACTGCTAAATTTTGCCAGTGGTAGTTCACTCTTTGCAACATAGTACGCTGTTCTAAACAGATTTTCAGGTTTATTTTTAGTATGTTATTTGCAATTGGTGTTTGTTCTGGGAAAGATATTGCAGACCGAGCAATAATGCATTTCTTGCATTTCTCATGGGTTCTAAAGGGGGCCTTTCTTAAAATGACTGGTCCCAGTAACAAAGGCGCTTGTCGACTCAGAAATCGAGGGAAAACCAACAACACACCCGGCAGAACATTATGTTATTTACACAGGTGCACATAAGTGGTCCGCATGTGCGCATTTGCTGTCAAAATAAAAGACGCGCACCAGATAAGAAGGTGCAACACGCGTTTGCGTCCATATAAAAGGCTGTTTTTGTCCGCTAGAGTGGGATTTTCACGGCACATTCTGCACCACATCTCTGTGCGTTCATCATTTGTTTGAAGCCAGCTCACCTCCTGCAAACACTTTTCCGAGAATACGTGCTTCTTTTGTGGTTCGGACTCCTGACATTTCTTTGGAGGTGGAGGAACATCACAGTAATTGCTTAAAGGAGCTTCTTCGGCATCTTTAAGAGTTCTAAACAAATGTCTGTCCTCCTCCAGAAAATCTTATGTACGCAAACACGCGTTGCAACTTCTTATCTGGTCCACGTTTTTTATTTTGACAGCAAATGCGCACCTGCGCACCACTTATGTGCAGCCCTGGTTATTTAGCTCGTCATATTGCAGCCACAGAAATTATTTTGTCCATGAAACCATAAAGCTGCACTTTCTTTTTGCCTTATAGTCTGATTTGTCATAACTTTTCCGTTTTAGCTTACTATGCAAACTTGTCATGTTTGCATAGTAAGCTAACGATTAATAAGACGATGTCAGAGGAATTGGTGCTCAAATTATCATCACTCACCAATCAGTGCTGTCGCTCTCTATACACAGTTCACACAATTGCAAAGTGAAAGCAAAAAACAAGCGCAAATTCAAACGCGATTTCAATATGTTACATATTGACAGTGGCTCACCGATGCCAATGACATAATTACCCAGCTACATTTCCGAAAGAATGCAAAAGCATTGACATACCTGTATATTTTTCCTTCCTACAATAGGCCGACGGGCAGGGCAGAGATAGATTTTGGTAGCTGGACTGGAAAAATCGCTAGCCCCGGGACGTCGGGCTAGCGATTTTGCGAGCCCTGTATCTGATTGAGGAATCGCTCATCTTTGGAAAAGAGAGTTTATTACAGAGAAATGGCTCTTTCCAAAATAAAAGCTATACTATACGCTTCTTCTGGGCTATATTCTCAGCAGCATATTAAACATATCAGGTCCCCATAAGGAGAATCCTGTGCTAACGGCTGTCTAAATGACTCGGGTAAAGTGTGTAGCATGCGTGCTTGTTGTTTTTGTCTGCTTCCACTTGTCTTTGCACGAGGATGATGTCGGTGTAAATGTGCAGTGATACTCGTTGTGTTCCCACTAGTGCTGTCAGCGTTAATCTGAAATGACGTTAACGCCACAACACGGCAAATCTCCATTAAAGAGCTACCGCGGATCGCCCCGTTCGTGGGGCTGGACGGCCAACACGTTAACGAGCTAACTGCGCTAACGCAGTAGTTCCCACCAATGTAATTGAGCATTGGTGGCACATCCAACATACTGTTTTACTTTAGTCCATGACGCGCTTACCTTCATACGTCACATGAAAACCAAAATACTTCCAAAGGCCAGATCTGAATGAGGGTGGGGGAGGTTCAGTTTGCCATGTTGCAAGGATTAAAAATTTTGTATTGTTCGATACATATGCGTACCGAACTGAAAGCACTGTATCGAACGGTTCAATATCGATACGAATATCGTTGCACCCCTAGTAGCTACACACCACATCGGTGAGTTCATCCAAATCACAAGTGTTCTCTTGAAACCAGGACCAGTCAGTGCAATCAAAACACCCCTGAAGGGCAACACAACTGTCTTTTGTCCAGACATTAGTCCGCTTCACACAGGCCTTCTCCCTCCTAATCACAGATCTGTAGGCAGGGAGGAGGTGAATAACATTGTGATCCGAGGAACATAGTGCAGGTCCGGCCACAGACTTGTATGCCCCCTTAATTGGTCCATAACACAAATACAGCGTTTTATTATGCCTTGTAGGACAAGTGACATGTTGAAATAAATTGTTCAGTGATTTCTTGAGATTACAACTGTTAGAATCACTAAGAATAAAAATTAGGAGCATCCAGAGAGAGAGTCTGCAGGTTGTGTACCACTTTAAAATGGTGTTGGCAGTAACTTTAACGTCAGCTTTAGGATGAATGTAAACCACAGCGCCCAAGAGTCTTTTGTTCTTTTTCAATCAAACAGACAGACAAACAGCAATTCAGTCTCTTTGTTTCCACCCATTGTTTAAAGATGGCTGAAAATTGCACAAAGTGAAACTCATCAGGTTTAACCTCAAGCTTAAGAATGACAACCTCAGATTCAGGTCATATGACACAAATCCAGCTGCACTATTGGCCTAGTGCCCAGTGTGACACACACACACACACACACACACACACAGAGAGAGAGAGTGGGTCAGTGAGCTGTGATAAAGAGCTGAGCAGATGTAGGCCAGGACATCACGCATGCATACATGATCACGTGTGTGTGTGATCATGTATGCATGCGTGAGCATTTCCTGATGACTAATCTGCTGCCATCATGTGTGCACTGAAATCCAGATTTACCTTAAAGGGACAGGCTGTTTCTCTGTACGTGAACATTCACGTTTAAACTCTGAGGGCAGCAGGCAGAGAAGCATTTTTAATGATCTCATTAAAGATTAAAATAGACTTAGTCTGGGTGAAAATTGTTTTTGTTGATGCAGTGATCCTTCTTTATGCCAAAATTATTTTAAAAGTCCTTTAAAGGCATATATCTTTTAATTTGGGTTGTATAGGCTGCAACGTACTGCAAACTTTCCTGTGATATCAGTTTGCACCACAAGATAAGAACATGTTCTTAGTTAAAGTGGACATGAAACGTCACATGTATAAAGGATCATGTACAGCCTGCTCTCAAGACACTCACTCTGTAACTCTGTGTGTGAAGCTGGATTTAAGAAATCAGTCTTTACAGGTAAAGTTTTTAGAGAATCCTTAGTCTAACAGCGTTCATTTTGTTTCACCTGTGAAAGGTACCTGCAGAGGTTACTGAAACAGGGGAGCGGCCCATCAAACTCACCTTGATGTGTGGGAACATTTAATCTCTGGTGGCTGTCAGAGGGACTGCAGTTTTTAGAGCTTAAAAGAATAGAATAGAATAATCCTTTAATTGTCCCACAAGGGGAAAATTGGTTGTAACAGCAGCAGAATAAAAGCACATCTACAAACAGAAGAGAGAAACAAACAATTTTTACAGAAAAAAATATTTATGGACAATAATTACAAAAACAGACAGTTTATTAAAGTACAGTTGTTAAAGTATAGGGTTTTTTTATATAAACTGAGATAGGTAATATGCAGCTATAACAGTAGTAGTTGTTTGGTTGATGAGTGCAGTTACAGCGCTGATGTAAACATCTGTGTTTGTTGGGAGCAGTTCTGATTGTGCAGTCTGACAGTTGCAGGTAGGAAGGACCTGCAGAAACGCTCCTTCATGCATCGAGGATGCAATAGTCGGTCACAGAAGCAGCTCTGCAGCAACACTTACATGCATGGGGTGGGAGGCTCTGTCCATCAGAGATGTTATTTTTCCACAGTCCTTCTGTCTCCCACCACCTGCACTGGGTCCAGGGTGCATCCCAGAACAGAGCTGGCCTTCCTGATGAGTTTACCCAACCTCTTCCTCTCAGCTGCCGATAAACTGCTGCTCCAACATACCTCACTGTAAAAAATGACAGATGTCACCACAGAGTCATAGAAGGTCTTTAAAAGCGCTCCATGGACTCCAAATGACCTCAGCCGCCTCAGCAGGTGGAGTCTGCTCTGACCCTTCCTGTAAAGAGCATCAGTGTTGTGGCTCCAGTCCAGCTTCCTAGGTTTGTTAATATTTCAGGTGGATGCGCAACCACCAATCGCACAACAACTTCAAACAATGACAGAAACGCAGCTGTTTGTGACGGTAACACCAGTAACAACAACCGTTTAATAAACGACAGCAGATCTGCTGTTCGGCGTCCTATGGAGACAGAGGAGGTCAGGTGACACCAAATTTCATCAGGTACAGGCACGAAGCTGAACAAACAGGGAATGAGTATCAGGAGGAGGTGAAGAAACAAAGTGAGGTGGGGTAGTACGAGAGGAGAGGAGAGGAGGAGTAAAGGAGGTCGAGGCTTTGAACAGACGCCGCGGGCTCTGAGTCCCGGCGAGCACGTTTCCCCTCCCCCATATCCTCACTAATCCCTCCAG